GAGCAGCAAGCCTCACTGACAGGAACTTGGCACGGAGCCGCCCGGTTCAATGTCCTCGTTAGACGAGCATTGGTGAGAAATGTCAATGTCGGCGCACACTTTGAATAAAAGATTAGAAAAAGAATACAGGGTGAAGAAAAGCCAGAGCTGTGGTGTTTGGACACCTGCAAATCGCTACAGGCTGCGTTGATCCCGACAGGTTAATTCTTCTTCATCGTCCAATAGCAGCTGCTTAGCGACGTGGGTAAGATACCTGTTCATCAAGTTATGACAGAATTGTAAATGACTCATTGATAATCAAAAGCACTCGTAGTGCTCGTTTAGGGAGTCACTGTCTTGAGGAGTGAAAGGTCAGAGGGCAAAGCAGAAAGTTAGAGACACACCAAGCACCATGCGACACTCACGCTTTGTTTGTGATTTTTACATTGATGTCAGGAGACCCCACATTGTATGTGATTGGATCTCGTAATTCGGTGGGAGGACCTGCTTCTCCTCGACGCCAGTTTAGGGCCAAAAGAAATCTTTTCTTTTATATCTAACAACAAGTACAAAACGTAAAACTGCTGCTACCTTTGCAAACGCAGCGCTGATACTTGACCTGTGCTCTGACTAATAAAATCGACCACAACGAGAGAAGTTGTTCGGCTGAACTTGCGCAGAATAACCCCAACCGGGCTTCCAATTTTGATCACGGCTCTTTCATCATTTGCGATGACTCATTGAAAAGTAATCAAGCTACCAATTGCTCCACGAGTGAATCATTTCTTTTATGTTTCATGTTGTTCCTCAGCCCTCAGCTGAAAGGTGCCTCACACCACTGCGAATCCACTCAACATGCGCGTAATTTAGATGGAAATTGAGCAATTGCGGTTTTTACGAGTCGTTGCTCTTCAAAATATACACCAACAGCAGACCCTCATACGACATTTCAGAGGGCCTCACGGCGGAGCTGCAGGGTTTACACGTCCTCCGAGTCTGAACAGAACCACATGAATCCTCATAGGTGCGCTGTGTTAAAAGGCCAGACGGTTTCAACGCCAAAGGTTATTGTGGGTCATTTGGATTGGTCGCCAAAATACAAGACGGAGAGCGGATGCCAAAAAAAGAGAGAGAGGGTAGAGGAAGAAGCGAGGGGAGTGGCAGTCCGCTATGGAGGAATGAGGACGACACTCATCTCGCAAGCATTTATCAGCTGGGACGGCAATGCTGGTGTTGTGTTCCCCCTGTGAGTCAGTATGTGTTTGTGTGACCCCGGCAGAATGTGATTCTTGAGACATGTATCGACCACAGAAGTGGTTTTACTTGGCCGGGTGTTTATTTGTCTGCTTGGGGAAAGATTCTTTTTTTTTTTTTTTTAAAGCCAGAAACGTGCGAGACTTCACTTGCTGTGTGGATCACATCGAAGGCCGAGTTTGAATGTGGGTTTGCTCCAAGAAAGGGGGTTGGAAGTTCGGGGGAGCATAACCCCCCCACACACACACACACAAACTTTAGGCCATCTCCCTCTCCCTGCATCTGTTAGGTTGTGCTTTTCCCCTCTTTGCCTCGTGCCCCCGACCCCTCCGTAGGCCGCGCATTACGCCACTTAGCAGGCCGCCTGGAGTCGACAAGAAATGGCCGAACCGCTCCTGCTTCCTATTAGCAAAGCATCTCCACGCTCCTGCAACACCCGTTAGCCATCCAGTCCCACTGCAATGACTTGGACCGGTTTCACGCCTCTCCATTTTATAGTTGACGAATGGCTGCAGCAGATGGTTTCTGATCTTTGAAGATACCAGGAAGAGGAGCGTGATGAATCGTTCCAGGCCGTCCGCATGCACCGGCCCTGTCGGCACCCTCAGCGCCGACGCCACCCCGCTGCCCCCTCCGGCCACGGACGGAAAAGAAGCAAAGGTGAAATGTGAACAATATGGAGTCGAGTACAACTATGAAGCTACTGCTTTCCCTTTTGTCACGTCCGCCCCAAAATCTTTAGACGTGTCAGCGTTTACACTTGCACTCCATTCCAGCTGTGTAAACGGCAATACGGTTGGTGTTAAAAAGATCCACACAAAGGAAAAAAAGCCATGGGCTCATCTGCTGCAGTCATTATCCTCTTTACAATGCACTCTCATGACAGACGCACGTCCACCCTTCTCATCAGTCACAGCTTCACACAGCAGATCACAGGAGAACGGGTGCGGGGCGAGCATGGGGAGCGGACCAGCCACGGTTAGGCTCTCCTTAGTATGTGATTTCTTCGCAGGGCTCTCCATTCCTCGGTTAATAAATCCATCCATACTGTCAGGATGCTGCCATGAAAGGTCTTTAAAAGAAATTATGCAGGATCTACACACTCGCGCTGCTCAGCGTTGTAAAAATAATGAATGGTCCGACTTAAAAAAAGGGATGGAATTCTTTTTTTTTTAAATGTTCGCTGGAAAAAAAAAGATATTTGCCCGTTATTTTGCTGTGACAACACTCAGAAATTGCAGGTTTTCTCTATTGCAAACCTCAATAAGACTTCTGATTAAATTGGCAATACCCCAACATATCTTGTGAAAGATCCTATAACCTGAGCTTAGCGTATTGGTCAAAACTCGAACCTGGTATTTGCCTGCTGCATTAGTAGTTATTTGTGTTCCAAGTCCTCCTGAGCTGGTCATCCAGCAAATAAATCATATTAAAAGACGTGTCAACAGTTGTCTCAAAATAGGCCCACAAAGTACCTGGTCCATCTGTCGAAGGAACATCAAAACGCAGGGTGGCGCATACTCGGGATGGCTGCATTGGTAGACCTCCCGTCCCTTGTGAGCTTGTGCTGAAGGCCTCGAAATGAAAGAGATATGGAATAGTGAAGTTAATATGAAATGGAAATGCAGTCACTATTTATCTCAGTGTTTACAAGTTGCCTTACTACTGCTAGTACTACTATACATTTTAAAGAAGTTCTTTAATATTAATATATGATTCGTTGGTGAGTGCACTGTGATTGATAGCTTGGCCAGAGAATGATTTGCCACTTTGCAGCTCCGAACAAATCTCAAACGTCTCAAACTAATAAGATTTCAGGAAAAATAAATTGCTTGTCGTCCCCCATTACTCAGTTTTCCATCACCGATGAAGTCATGTTTTAACAGGGTCTCATTTCTACAATATTTCCCTTGCTTCTAAGAGCTGGAGGTCTCACCTGAAGGCTTCTGTGCTCACTCACACACGCATGATGCAATGTGAAACCCTCGCCTGTTTCCTGCAAAAGGTACAAGGAGCTGTGCCACAAAACTGCCTGCAGGGCTGCAGGTGTGAATATCTGTTTCCTCGCCGCTGTGATTAATAGCAATGAAATCCAGGCCATCTCCCAACCTCAAACGGTCACAATAGCTCTGACAAACTCAATCAATACGTACTGTCAGTGCCAGGAGAAAAGAATGTGATGAGAAAAAGTGTTGGTGCGGCCCGGGGGCTGACAGGGCCACTGATTTATTGCAGATGTGCCTTTCGAAGGCAACGGACGAGCAAGACTTCAACATTTGGAAAGAATCATCGCGTGGCCGCTATAGGGCACGCTCAAATGCTGAAAAGACCAGTCTGGGTGCACAGAACACACAGGCATGCATGGGTGTGCCAGCACGCCAAAAAGTGCACACACCCCCGGTTGCACACAACTGTGTACACAGACATTTTTGCATAATATCCACTGGCAGTTATAGAAGAAGCACCTTGGATCCTTTTAATTAAATGAAATTACTATTGCAAAATATTTAAACTAAATTTCCCTCATCACCTCAAATGAAAGCCGGGTATTTAACGTTTTACTTGAGTAAAAGTATTATCTGTGAAATACTGTATATCAAAGTATTGGAGTAAAAGCACTCATTTGGCAAATAGCCCCATGAAGCCAATTGTAACACTCCATATCTTTTTTTCATAATGGAACAATATATAATGGAACAATATATATATATAATATTTTTTCATAATGGAACAATATATATATATATATATATATAACTCAACTGTTGTACTTGAGTTTTTCCATTTTATGGCACTTAATAACTACATTTTGGAGGGAAATATTCTTGATACTCCACTACATTCATCCGAAAGATGTACTACAAGTTGCTTTCAATATTTTTTATTATCAGTATATGAAGCAACTGTAAATTAGACCTTTACCAAATGAGTAATTATTATACATTAATGCATCAATGATGATAATCATTCTGGACCATACTGCATAAAAATTAGTCATTTTAAAAATAGTAATTTTACATCTTTGACTTTTAAGTATACTTTATATCATAGTTATTTGCCTACGTACATTTTATATGCAGGACTTTGGTTCATAACCAAGCAGTTCTACACTGTGGTATTGTTACTTTTAAGAAAAACACCAGAATATACAAACAAATTAAAACCAAACACATGAGGCAACGAAATGTGGCAAAGTTGTGGGCGCATGCATTCCTTGCAACAGTTGTTTACATAGTTGATGAGTACGTAAAAGTCAACTTGTGAAGGTACAATTAGCCCCAGTCCTATAATCATCATTGATGGCAGTAATAATAATGGGGCCAGGGAAATAAGCCACGGGACACCAGTTGCTCGTCCTGAGCGTGGCGGGAAATTCAGCGTTTGTTTTTCTCATTTAAACCTTGATCTCGCCAACAAACCGCTCGAAACGGAATTGTTGCGGCACTCGAAACAATTACAGTTATCCCACTTTGTTATAACGCGATTACAGAGCGTGATCACGCCGGTTGTCTCTTTAAGAGTAGTGAGCAGTGAGAGTGAGAGAGGCGGTAACGCGGTTTCACACCCCGGGGTGGGAAACGGAGGCGGGGCCAACCCCCGCTGACTGACGGCCACTCACACCCCTCCTCCTCCTCCCCCCCTCGGCGTTGCGCGGAGAACCCGGGACGACCAATCGGGTTAGGACTCGACCCGTCCATCAAATCGAAAACAACCAATCCCCTCGAGCCATGGGCGGACCTTGGAATTGCTGTTGTGAATCCAACGTGGGACTTCGAAACGATCACTCGGGACAAACAAAAAAAAAAGGAAAAGTAACTGTAGAAAGTCCCGGTGGCGGTACGCGGTCGGAAGGAGGAGGAGGCTGCGTAACCCTATTTCGCTATTACTCGGATCGTCGAGATTGTGTGACCGCAGACCGCACCTGATCAACCGGGACGGACCGCGCGTGCAAGAGAAGTTGGATTTATTCGCCCACAGTCCGCGGGGAGATCCGGGCGACATGCAGCGCGCGACTCGGGAGATCAACGCCGGAGTTCTCGGCACCTCGCGCGGCGCCCCTTGACTTGGCAGTTGCCGCATCTTCAACTTGTGTTGCGGGTTGGAGTTTTAAACAGTTTCTGCCGCTTCTCTGTTGACCGGCAGTCTCTCGCTCTCCGTGTGTCCTTTTAACGTCGCGCTGTTGCGCGTTAACCCCCCCGACATGTCACCGAGAAGCAAAGTGTGTTCGGTGCTGAGTGAACGCGCCGCTACGACTTGTGTCTGAGTCCCGGGCGACATAAAAGTTCACCCGCGGGTCGCCTTTGATTTCGAGTTGGACACCCGGAGGAGAAAGTTGGACTGGTGAGCTTGTCCCGAATCACTGTGACTGGGATGGGACACGTTTCGACCGCACCGCAGTCGCCATCGACCGCCTCCCTCCTCGTACAATAAGACGGTCCGTGCGCTTCCAGGGGGAGGGGGGGTGTGTCTCCATCTCCCCGAAGCCGCGTTAGCGTCCCGGTTTTCGGGTACGGGGAGAAGAGGGAGAGAGCCCAACGGCCGCGCTATTAAAACTGGATACAAAATGGCGGCGTCCCTGGGACGAATTGGATCCGTTTCTCCCGGTGTTTTTTATTTACTTTTGTCGCTCGAACTGTTAGCGGGTCCTGGATTAGGTTCGCCTTTGCCGTGCGCCCAGAATTGTACCTGCGACGGGGATTCAGTGGACTGTAGCGACCGGGAGCTGACGGCTGCGCCTCTGGACCTTCCGGTCCGGACTGTCTCCTTGTAAGTACCAGCCCGAGCCCGCTTATCGACCTGCCAATTACACTGCTTGTAAAGTGCCCAACGGGGAGACACAGCACGTTGAATTGCAAATAAATAGCTAGTAGTAAGCAGTGGGCCCTCGAGGGGGGCCCCCCCGGTGGGAAGGGGGGAGAGTATTTGAGTGGTCCTGATTTCCCTTTGCATAAACACATGTGTCTTCAGTAAACGGCGAGCTGTAGTGTTTATTCCTTCCTCGCCGCAGTGACTTTAAACGTTGAACTCGGTGGTGAAATACAAACTTCTGCTCATGTCCCCGTTAACCAAAAAGAAGAAGCCCCCCGGACCCCCCACGCAGGTGCAAAAAGTGGTCCCCGTGTATTGAGCGGGCGGAGTGCCCTGCTCAAGGGCACGTGCGGGGATCTTCCAGAACTAAAATCCAAGATAATGGTGTCCTGAAGATGAAAGTGGGCCCTTAAAAACAACTTTTCTGTACCGCGTTTATCAAACTCTTTGTGGAAAGTTCTGCCCTTTTTTTTTAACTTGGGTTTAACAGGAATATCAGCGGCTATGACTCTATTATGTCCCAGTCTGTACATTCGGATGTCTTAGATTTGTAGATGCAATGAATTCATCTAAAATCGGTGAGTAAACAAACCCCGCGTGTGTCGTAAAAAATACATTTCGGCTCTATTGGGTGATGTTTATGACGGGTAATACAATTGTTTCTGTTTCTAGCCGTGTTTCACACATTTACGGGGAAAAATAGCACTTATTCCTCTAGAAAAGACCGACATCAGCCGAAACGCTGCCTGCTGGTTCGTCGAGGAAATGAGCCAATTTGGGAGATTTGTCCCTTTTTTAACGGAACACCCGCCAATGTTTAGGAGACTTCAGCGCTCAATCGAGCCCGATGACACAATTTATTTGCAGACAACGCGAGCCTCTGTCCTCCCAATCAACATTTGGGCTCCTGCCTCAGTGTGCTGCGTCCACTGTCCCCGCCGGCACTAGAGAATCCTCAGTGACAATGGGGCATCTTGTCATGGACGCATCGGCCTGTGTGTGTGTGTGTTGCTGAGATCGTGGGGTTAAAGACCAAAAGAGACTCCTCTGGCTCCCAGGTTCCTGTGTTGGGCCGTTTATCAGCCCCTGGGAAGCAAGGAATGCAACTTTTTTTTTTTTAAAAAGTCCTCTTAAAAACATGAATAACGGCACTTGTGCCCGGGGAGCCTCGCTGCCCTGAAGCACCACTTAGCTCAAGTTCAAGTGCTGTTTTATCGTGCAAGTACGCAGACACACACTGCTCCTCCTGTCTCCTCGCGGACAAAGGGCAAATAGTGAGGGACAAATGTCCCGTCTGAAAACGGCGGGTTTTAAACCGCTGCAAGGATACGGTCCTTTTCGTGAGCTCCGTCTACTCCCGTTATCTCGGCTAAAGCTTATCGGTCAAGATTTAAGAACCCGCAATCTGGTTGTTTTCAAAGGGAATGGCTTTATGGCTTTGGATTACCTTTTTAAAACACCTAGGTTGCATATTTCCACACCACTTCAGATAGTCACTCCACGTTGGCCGGGGACTCAAAGGGAATCGGCTTGGTTGCTCCGGGGCCTGTAAGTGAGCCAGATTTAGCAGATGATTACTGAAACCCCCAAAGAGACAAGTATGGACGGTCTCACTTGTGGCCCAGTTTGATCCCAATATAAAGGCACCATACGCCACGTCCTGTCTACCTGAGTAGATTCAATTTGCTTTTTTGGGGTTCCTAGTCGTTGTTTATGTGTGTTTGTGCTGCCTGTGATTTACGTTATTCACAGACAAAAGGGAAAACTGTTGTGCTGTTAAATATAAGTCTATTTACTGCACTGTGCAACAACAGTAGCTTTATCCTGTCAACAGAGACAGTTTGCACAATGCCTCGGCCTTAAAGCAGACTACCTTCAAGCAGGGGGGGGGGGGGGGGCGCGCACAGGCATCAGAAGCACTTTGTACACTTATCCACGGGGCTCCGCACACCTACCGCCGGCCGTTCTGCTTGGCCGTCTTATTGGCTTACAGGAGTAATGGAGCCGTCCCACCCTTTCTTGTGGGCGAAGACTGATTGAGCTGTCATGTATTTGCTGCAATTATCTCTGTTCGTGCTCATAAATTGGGAGTACGGGAGTGAACACAGCAGTAGCACCCCAGGAGCCGTATTTACGGAGCAGTTTACAGAGGGGACGGAGGGGGGGGGGTTCTGTCTTTTCGCAGTGTGGAGCTTCTCTGCTCCCTCGAGCGACGCGGTCTTCCACCCCAGTAGCTGTCTTAAAAGCCCCGTAGGTGTAGCTGAAGAGAAAAGCTCCTTCCACTTGTCAAAATGCCGTCCCTTCGGGGCCCTGGTTTTAATGGTCCCCTGTGAGAAAGTGGCCTTGATGAGGGGGGGAAAAGGGTTGTGGGCGGCAGAGCAGAGCGAGCTCACAAGGAGACACGGGGTGGGATTGAGGGCTTGTGTGATTGATTTACGTATGGAACATACGAATAATAATTCACTTCATGAACTGACAATGCATTTTGAACATGTTTGTGTTGCTTTATAAATGCTGAATTAAGTCCCATATATCCGCGCGATTGACCACACACAGTTTCTAAAGCATCTTTAGAGACTCTGCGGGTTCGTCAAACACACCCTTTGCTGTTCTACGTCAGTCCTTCTGACATTTAATAAAGTGACCACCAGTCTCGGAGGCCCGTCCATTGTTTCTGATTGATGAATAGCTTAATAACATTCAAGGCAAGTTTGCTCTCACACGGTCACATATTCCCTCTCAGGAGTGGTGCCTTATCTCATTTGCAACCACAGTAATGTGCATAAAAAGCATTTCTGCCCACAGTGGCCCCGGCGTAATAGGATTTCACGAGTAAATAAAATCACAAACATAACTAATTTAGCAGGCTGAGATTGCTGCTGTTGGGCAGAGGTTAAGCAGATACATGGTGTCTGTTTGGCCCATTCTTTTACGTGTTTTATGAGATATATTTACGTATGTTTGGGGTTAGTCTTCCATGCTTCCCCAGCTTAACCCCGAGGGAAAAGCCAGAAGACGCCTAAACTTGAATGGTCCCAATTGCAACCCAGTGGTTTCCCAATGCGCTGGTCACCAAACCCCGTAGCCCCCCCGCTCCCCACAGCGCAGCCTTATTGGTAAACACCAACCCGACCGTTGGTTTTAGCTTCTGCCCTCAGGGAATGGGTTTGTGTGGTGGTTTTATCCAGACAGGGGCTGGGCGGGCTCTCGGCTGGCTGCTCACGGAACTGGTCTGCAGAGGGGTGGGGGGGGCCGCAGATCACCTGGCACGGGGGGTGGACTTTTTTTTCCCACCCACTGCATGGATGTCAATGTCACGGTCTGCTGCTGCTGCTGCCTCCAGAGCTGCTTCCACTAGTTGGTGGAGGTTCTGTCAGTGGTCAGAAACCCAAACCACTGTCCCACATTATAACACACCCAGAAATCCCAGAGGAGCAGAAACATCGCTGTCTGCCTGGACGTCCCATGTGCTGACAGACAGAGCTCTTTCTGATTTGAGTTGCAGAAATGCTCCTTCCTCACAAACAGGTGAGTGTAGGAAGGGGGGGGGGGCGGTTGGGGGTCGGGGGGGTTTGCAGCAGCGCTCTTTGGGGCCGAGCCCATTGTGGTTACAAGGGCATTTCTCGCTCGGCAGCCATGTAACCTTGTGGTATTGGGGGTCTACCAAGTTTGTTTATTGTCATAGTTTCTTTACCCTTGTGGCTCTGGTATCCACATGTGGATATTTTAAAGTCAAGCTCGAGCGCTTAGAAGGGTTTAAGACGATATTATTGTTGGCAGAGATACCTTTTTTTCGGTCAGCAGCTCTTCCCTTTCTCCACAGTATCAGCCTTTTTGCTGGTACGTTGAATAGAAAAGGTGCAGGGAGTTTTCTAGGGAAATGTACGCGAGCACGTGGCAATCAATTCATGTTGTAGGCGATCCTCTTTGAACCGATTGAGGTAATTTGTTCTCTAGCCGAGAACAAATTATGAGGTAAAAACTTCATCGGTTCTTACTCTAGTAACGGCAGAAATGACAATCAAACAGCTGCTGCCACAGGTCATTCTACAGGAATCCAGTCAGCAGAATAGATGGTCCTTTTGTGAAGACACTTTAAGGACCCCCCCCCCCACCCCCCTACCACCACCTCCTTGGGTTGATCGATGAATCATCTGTGAAAACTCTACATCTGGTAAGAGTTGGCAAATGTGAAGAAGATGTTAGAAAGAGAAGAAAAAAGCGTGACTTGGACGAAGAGGGGGAAAAGGTGCCGGCCAAGCGAAGCAGCTTCTCCCCAGAAATCCGGCAGGCCTCAGAGGAGCGGGCGGCGCTGGAGTGCCAAGTTGGGCCTTTTTTTAAATTTTTTTTTTTTTTTTTACGCCTTCCAGCCCCCGCACTGTGATATTGCAGAGAGGAAATGAGCGCCAGAGCTCTACTGTCTAGACACCCACATGTACTCCGAGTCCTCTGTTTAGAGACGTATTCCACCTCTGGCTGTAGCGCAATTAGCGCTGAATTGTGTATAATAAACAACAAGCGGGGGAAAAATTGACTAATGATCCGGTCTCTTTCTACGCTTTTGAAGTCGCAGGGTCAGCGCTCTGCGCAGCGCTAAGACAATAGCCCCGCCGAAGAGACGCACAATATTTGTGTTATTCTTTCAGATTAATTGGGGACGCTCATTTCCCCCTTTACTCACAATGAAGTAATCTGGGCGCCATTTGTAACCAATTGCACCGTTATTGCGCTAGAACGCCGCTGTTAAATGCGGGAGCGTGACCCCTGCGTGTTTTGCGGACGACGGGTGCACGAGGCGTGTGTGCAGTTTGGCACCGGGAGCACTATTGTGCTCCTCCTCCTCCTGGCTGTGGGGTTCACGCAGTGCCTTCCCCCCCCCCACAATCTGCGCCCTACTTTTCCAGCCCCAAACCGGCGTGAAGAACGGCGGCGCACATGGCCCCAAGATGTGCCTCGGCCAAACTTCAGAAACTGAGTCACAGGCTCGCTGATTTTCGAAGGCGTTGTTGTGTGTGTGTGTGTGTGTGTGTGTGTGTGGCGGGGGGGGGCTGTAATGCAAATTGTGAAATATGCTGATCCCATCGGCACTACACTTCTCTGACCTCGCTGCACAGAAGTTTCTCTCCCTCTCCCCAAGATGTTGCGCTGACGGGTGCTTTACTCATCCCATTCATCATTATTTGTCATTACTGCAGATCCCGTTGTTTGGCCCATCTAATAATCCCTTTAACCTCGTTGATATGAGGTCTACCGGTTTGCTTCCTCTGTTTGACTCTGTTTTGTGTGTAGAATGTCAGCCTGGAGCTGGTGTTGGCTTTGTGAACACTCTCACTGCAGTTGCCTGGCCATAAACTGGCCCTTAATGACAGGAAGAGTGGTGTGAGTGTGTGTGTGTGTGTGTGTGTGTGTGTGTGGGGGGGGGCCCTCAGACACTCAGGTTATTATTTGACTAGCTTTATGATGCTCTGAAATCGACCACATTAAAGGGCCTTTGTCTCCCTGCTGGACCACAGAAGGCTCATCGCTGACATCTCTTCACACTTTCGGCGAGCAAAGTTCACGCCGCATTTGTGTGCGATAGGAACAGGAAAGATAATGATGATGTATTTCTCCATGTGCGAGTCCCTGGCTGATCCGGGGCTCCCTCCCCCGTATCTCTCTCCCCCTCTCCCTCCCTCCCACACACCGACTGTGTGCTGCTCTACAAGCATAGCGTCATACGTCATGACATCACTCCCAGCTTTCCTCGACTCCCCCAGCACCCGTAGCGCAGATCTTTTTGAAGGTCTTTTAATGAGTTTTATATGTCAGATCTGCTGCGCAGTCCAGCCATGACGCTGTGCTTCAGGCACTGGTTTGCTCAGTCAAGGGAGTCTGGGTTTCGAAGCTACACCTTCCAGTAGTCGGTATATTATCAGCCGATCTCTTATTTCAAGTTTTTACGCCAATGTAAATTTTCCCAAGAAGCATTTTTTAGAAAATCTGTCCAAAAACCAAAAGATATTGATCCATGAGGGAGGAAGGGAGTGTGACCTCATGTGTTGCAATAGACGAATGTGTTATTTGATGCTGTAAATAGTGATCAGTTAATGTTGTATGGATTTATTAACCGTCTGTTTGGTGAAATGAGTGACCTTGCTCCGGGGCAACCGGTGGTTGGGTGATTAGAAGCTCTGCCGGGCTCCGTAGGGGAGCTTCATCCTGCTGATGTTCACCACTGCCTCTGGGTTTGCAACGCAGCGGGAGGTGTTGAGGGCTGCAGCGGCTCTCGTGTTTCTCATCTCCATTCCGGCTGACAGAAGCGGGGTTATGGCGACCTGATGGGCGGCCGACAGCTTGGACACAGTGCGGCTTCAGACAACTTCAGAGGAACTTTATTCCGAATGGAGGGCTGGGGTGTGCCGGCAGATCAATCATATGTTCTGTTATCAGGAGTTAGTTTTTGATTAGCTGATACATTTCCACGGGATGAAATAAAAAATAAAATAAATAATTATGAGATCGTGCACAATATTCACCCTGCACCAATCGCAGCGGCCTGAATTAAGTGTTTGGCTCAACACAATGTCTTACTTTGGTTAAGTAGCTGGCGGAGGGAGATTGTGATCTGCTGACTAATGTGTGTAAACTAGTTGTACCATACGGTGGAATGCTGCGCTTCACAAAGGCAAAACCGCCGCTCATTGTTTGAGTCGGTTAATCGCAGAGGCCGTGACCAGCTTATAGACCAGATCTTTAAAAACAGAGTCTCATTCTTCTTCCGTGCGTTGGATTCTGCTAACGTTGGTGACTGAATCCCTCAAAGGTAGAAAAAACGAATGGCTCTCCCAGAAACGACCTGATTCTAAGGTCACTTTCTGGAACGGATTAACCACGCTTCGCACCGAGGTTCATTTTCTTTCCACGGGAGGGAGGGAGGCCGGCCGGCGTTATCACCACTGCGCCGTACAGTAGGTGTTAAAATGCTGTGAGCTGTATCTGATCTGATAGGCGAGAGAATAATAAAGGAGAACGAGCCTGGAGAGAAAAAGGCCCAGTTGTGTAAACATCGGCGGTGAATCAGAGAGCGGCACATGTGTGCGTCTGGGCCCTCGCACAAAGGACCCGTTTTGTTTTGTCGCCGTGGCCTTTAGCACCAGCACTGCAGCTTTGGCTCTTAAATGCAACTTTTTTGTCCCCATAGTCCTCCTTTTTAAGCCTCGGGCTTCACGTGCGAGTTGACTCGCAATATCTCTTGAGCTGTTTTGTGCCCAAATCCGGTCGATTTGAAACAGCGCTGTGTGTGTGTGTGTGTGTGTGTGTGTGTGTGTGTGTGTGTGTGTGTGTGTGTGTGTGTGTGTGTGTGTTGGCTGAAGTATGTATATCTCCAGGCAAGCGGTGTGGTTTTTCACTTGGCCTCACCGTAACGAGGTAATAGTTTCCTGTCGCGGGGCCGACAGTTCAGTGCTCGGGGCTGCGATGGGGGGGTGAAGACAACAATAATATTATTAAGATATCGATCACATATTGGATGTATCCCAAGCTGGACAATGGACAAACGTCTTTTTAGTTGACGTCCTGTCCAGTCCCCGTTGCCCTGCCACAGAGCACACTATGTAACGTCCTGCTCAGCTGTTGTTATGCCGATGTGTCTCCTTCACTAAAGGCCTTTGTACTGACTGCGTTCCAATTAGCTACGAATGGAGGAAACCTCCTGTCACTTGCTTTACAGGCTTGTTATCATCAGGAAATGTCTCACCTGCCAGATGAATGGCCCTAACCCTTAAGTCATACCGCTAAGGAATGAAAGTTTCCCATTACTCAACACCAGACCGCCACTCCGCAGATCCATTTAGAAAATGCCAATGAGCTGATTCCCGTCTCATCTGTAATCTAATAAAAAGTCATACAGTACCGGTCAAAACGTTTGGAAACATTTTCTCATTCAATTTAAGAATGTGTGTCCAAACGATTGACTGGTACTGTACTTCGCGGTTTCCACGGGAACGCACCCGTCCAGGCTTTGGGCATTCGGGTTGAAAAATCACTTCAAGCCTCACTTTTAAGGCCTGTGCCTGGAGGGCGGACACACACACTATTAACTCTTTACACAAACACACACACGCACACACGGGGAAAAGATTTAGGGACCAACACTGTAATTAACTGCGCAACAGAAAGATAAATCTGTCACGGGAGAAGGAGAGTAAGATTGACAGGCGTAAACCTTATAAAAAAGTGTGTTGAATAGCAGCCTTTTGCTGTCGTATTGTCCCGCCCCCCTTACGCGGCATTCTTTACAAGACGGCGGTGGGACGAGAGGCCGAGGAATGTGTTGCTTCAGGTGAAAGTGTCCCCAGCAGCTGGGAACTAGCGGCCAACTCTCGGCAGGCCTGTGAAACATTCCTGCGCCGTCTCTCACGTCTGGACGGACGGACGGACAGAGGGACGGGACGGGACGCCCGCGGCCTCAGAGCTGTGGGCTCCCTTTGTCTCACCCGCGGCCAAAAACACAAGCGGCACTCTCACTGTAGCAGCCCGCCCGCCCCTCCCCTACCCTCCCCTGCCCTCCCCTCCTACACCCTTTCTGCCAACAGGCCGCCCAGGAAAGAGATGGCGCTTGTTGAATCAGCTCCACATGGCGTGGGACGCTCCATCTGAAACGCAGACGCTCGCGTGGCGCAGCGCTACATCACGGGACTAATCACTCCGTAATAAGCCCCCGTGCCAGTCAAGCGGCAGCTATTAAACGCGGCGTTAGCCTGAAGTGCTAATTGAGTGCTGCGGATGAATGGCCTGCAGGTTATGTGTTTGAAAAGTGAGCTGTGAGAGCCTCTCTATCGATAGTATTGATCCGGCGCTCCTGGATGGACTGCTGTGTTTTCAGGCGTACGTTATGTGTGCTGAATGGGTGAAAACTTGCTGTCATTGATTGATTGATTGAATACAATATATAAAGGTCAGTGTCCTGTCCACTATTCGGCAAATTTGAACTGCTTTTTAAATTGACCTCTTCTTCTTTATTTCAGAAACCTCGGCCGCAACAAGCTGACTTCCATCGACGTTGAAGCTTTTGACGGCCTTCCCAACTTGAGAGAGCTGTAAGTAGTCGCACACACAGCATCTCCATCCACAAACACCTAGACACTCTAATGGACTCCCTGAAGTGTGTGTACAGCCCCGTTTTCCTCCGGTGTGTTTCAGATGTTCGACTCTGAAACGCGGCGTAGGTTTTGATTCCCGAGCATCGTACGTGATCGCCACTCTCTGCTTCCCAGCGTGTGTGTGTTTCCTTGAACTAAGTCCAATTGAGAATAAAGTGGTGGTTTTCTATATTAAGCCTCCTCTCCACCACCTGATACTGTGGCCAACGCTGGCCTTGTAAATATTTTATATGGTGAGGAGAGCGCTTGGCTCTGTGTCACTCAGCGACCAGCACACAAGGCACACACACACACACACACACACACACATCCAGCAGCTAACTGGTGATACACACACTGGTGACATCTTTGGCAGGCCAGTCATATGCTCCCCGGACATCTGTTTCACTCCTGGGTTATATTTGGTTTTCAAAAGGGTGACTTGCTCCTTGCTCGGCGGGGACGACATGACAAGTCATGTTTTTAATCTTCAGATTGGTGCGAGGGTTAATTGCATTTCGCCTCATGTGATGGAGCACGTGGGATAGAACGGCCGACGACACGGTGGCGTCTCAGCGAGCGTTTAATACTGAAAACGCACAACAATCCGCTTTGTTTACTTCACCAGTAGAGCTCCTTGAATTCTTTGCTGTGCTTCCTCCTCTTTAAGTGTCTTTGTCCTCTAGTTTGTCTCTAGTTTTCTCCTCTAACCCGCGTGTGTTGTTTCACTTGCAGGCGCCTGGACCACAATGAGCTGACCTCCATCCCAGATTTAGGACGGGCCGCCTCAAGGATCGTGTCCCTCTACCTGTGAGTACGGCCCCCATTTACCCGTAGACGAGTTATCTGGCCCTCCGTAGCTTTACCCTGAAGTCAGTGGCCTCTTTGAAATGCTCCTAAAATAGTCCCCCTCTTTGCCTTTGCATCTCCGAAGTAACGCATTCGTGTGAAGTTGCTGATGAATATAGTCACATTACATTGAAATAACCCCCCACCCCCCCTCCTCCCCCCCAGCCCCTCTCCGCCTAAGCTCTGTTGGTGTAAATATGGCGCTCTGTCTTTAGCGTCTAGCGCGTGGTCGAGTGACCCACGTGTGTCAGATCCAGCGCGGTTGTGAAACAGCGCCTGTGGGGACGGGGACCTGCACTGGCATCTCACTGGAGATTTACTGCCCTATTTGGGTCGGGCCGGTGTGCACTTGCGCGTGTCACGAACGTGAGCTCGGCAGTCCATCGCACAAAACCCCGGCAGTTCAACGACAAGCTTTCATCCAAAAATACGCCTAAGTTAAGAATCCAATGGCTCTGCTGTGAAACCTTACTACAACTCCCGTGAAGATAAAGTCCTTCTGGTTTCCAGTTCTAAACACACACACACACACACACACGCGGTCAGCTTGGCTTCACTGGTTGTATATCTATCGGTGTGTCGGGCTGACTGCCTGGTGGTGAAGTTTCTGTGATATCGGTCAGGGTGAGCCGTGCGGGAGTCACACCTTGGCCCGTCCCCGTGTGTCATCCGCCCGCTTCTCAGAATTGAATGCGGTCACAAGATTACTCTTAAGCCGTATGGAATTTGAGGATTGATTGGGCAACTCTGACGTCCGTCTATTTCTGTACGTTTGGAGCTTTTGTCACGAATGTGTTTTTTATGAGGTCGGATCCAAAGAGTTTAGAAACAAACTCGCGTTCGCAATCCGGCTGGAGCAAGTTCACCTTTACTTGCACAAACCGCACACGGGCCGCAGCCCCGCCGAGTGATGGGGGTGTCTTTTTTTGGCCCGACTGGAGGTCTGTTGCTAGGTGGGGGGGAGGCCCGCGGGCCCGATGGGTGTGGAGGCTGGAGGGCGGGTCGGATCTCTACAAAGCCACACAGCTGAAGCGAAGGCCCGTTGAAGCACTCGCAGCTGTCGGCCGTCAGTCACATGGCTCACACTAAAACGGGTGACAGCGAGAAGGGGAGGAAGTATGAGAAAGCAGGGAGGGAGGGCGGCATAGGGCTGGGGCGAATAGCGTCGGATCAGGGTGACACCACCGTACCGCCGAAAGAGGAATGGTAAAGGAGAAGTTGTGTGTGTGTGTGTGTGTGTGTGGGGGGGGGCACAGAGAGGCAAAAGGGAAGCAAAAGGTGAGCTCGTGCGCAGGGTTATTCCCTAAAGTAAATCCGATGCACAGCGTCTCCCGTGACAACCGGCCAGCTCTCCACAGTGAGAGAGTGTCTGAGCACAGACTGCAGGCCAGTGTTCCTGTGCCGCTGGGCCACAGCGTCCGGAATGTCGTCTGACTGCAGGTTTGTGTGAGACAGTGGTTTGCACGCACACAAACACACAAACACACGCAAGCAAATTGACTGAGAAACTTTTCTTCGGCCCCTTCATCACACTCAGTATCAAATGCTGAGAGAGAATCACATGCGAGAACGCTGGTGGAATTTCTCACGTTGAATTGCGAATGTAAAGGGGAAGTTTCCGGGATAACCAAATAAGTTTAGTTTCCCGTGTTACGTTATAATGCTGCCCTTTCTCCGGTTATGCCGCGCACCGGACTGAGTGACGCAGCAGCTACACTAAATATTGCACAAATGCTTGGTCAGCAGAAACGCACGATGCTTTTTAGAGGATTGGATTCAAACAAACGTTTGTTTCATAAGGGCTTCAAGATGCTTTATGTTAATCAGATGACCGTATTCATCTTTGAAAGATTGCACACGGAAGTTGATGACCAGGTCCCGTGGGAGTACAATACACAGGCTTATGAAGAAGTACAGTGGTATTAAAATAAAAAAAGGAATTCAGTGGACAAAAAACCTCACTGAGGTGGCCAGAGTTTTCTTCCTTTTCTCGTTCTGTTTCCTTAATCTTTTGCTTGATTGAAAGGGTGTTTCTCTTTTGTCTTTTCTTTGTTTCCCGTCACCTTCATTCCTTTCCTCCCCTCTTTTTTTTATTGCTGCAGCCCTAGAGATAATTAATTTGCCAGTCCAAGCTCTTCTTTGGTCCAATCGTTATGATTTGTTCAGATGTCCATCAACCAAATACAACAGATGCATCACGTTTAAGTGGAATTCCTACCGGCCCATAATGCACTTGGCCATTGGCATCCCGCAGACTCCCCGAATGCCACAGCAGGATGGGAAAAAAGCAAAGCAACAGAAATAAAAAAAAAAATTTAAAAAATGAACTGAAAACCGTGTCAAAGTGACAGCAGAGCAGCACAAACTTTCCCGTTGTGCTCATCGCTGGCTTGTCTCGACATCAAAGCAATCCTTTATAACAGCTCTGGGTGGAAATAACACGGCTGGTCTGATTTTGAAATAACTCTCCCATTGTCCCGGCCGTCAGCTTCAAACGCAGAGCGCGGCCCAAAGAATCGCCCCCAAAGATGACACTGGAACCGCCAGGACGGGCTCTCCATTGGGAACCGCTGATGCACTTTCCATGCATCAAAAGAAGTGTCAAAGTGAGGCAGGCGCACGATAATCAGGCGGTCAACGGGGCAGGGTAGCGGTATTTGGAATCACGTGGAACCAAGGGCAATAAGGCCTTCCGGACATGAAAGGATGACCAAGTGCGAACCAGCTCCGCTTCATCAAAACTGTCACCGGCCGTATGATGATCAGTCTTTACAAACGTGTGGACTTCAAACACGCTGAGCTCTGCGGCTTTAACCGCCTATCACACGAAGCCGGGGGGGTGGTTGGAGGGGGGAGGTCGGGGGGGGGGTGGAAAGGGAATTTCGGTTTGAAGGCAAACGAGTGAGAGAGGTCAACCTCTCCCACCAGTTTGAGACTGATCTGTTTTTCCCATCAAAGGTCACCAGCTGTTGACCCCACCTCACCCCTTCATTCTCCTCCCCCATTCTTTCCCTCCCTGCTTTTTGCTCAGGCTCACTGTAGCCACTGTCTGTTGCTCCCATGTTTGCCGCTGCTATTTGTGTTGTGTTGTGTGTGTGTGTGTGTGTGTGTGTTTGCCCAGGCGGGCTTGCATGGCTCATCCTTAACCATTTTTGCCACTGTTTATTCAGGTGGGCCGCTGTGGTGTGACCCCTCCTCCCCTCAGACAGCAATAAAGTCGTGTGTGTGTGTGTGTGGGGGGGCTGAAGGCTAGAAAGGAAGCAGGGAGGAGGGACTGACCTTGTTTTGACGAGTTTGACCAGAGGGACACCTGCTCTCACCTTCCTAAAAAGCAAAGCAGCCGCAATATCATGCGCCGTCCATCTGAAGATGTGTGATTTAGTTGTTCAAGGGGAGAAATGTATGTGTTTATGTACTTCTTCTGGCTGTATTGCCCCCCCCCCCCCAACAAACACAAACGTTTTTTTTGCCGCTTTTGTTATTGGGGAAATGTTTCACCAATAAACAACAGAGGGGACAAGTAAAAAAAAGTATTTTGTCCTTCCGTGGAAATAAAGTGAGGAATAAAATGCTGCGTTGCTCTTAGTCGGATGGGACGACATCCGTGTGCTTTAAAGGGGAACTTTAATTGCTGCCTTTCCACTCAATCCACGGAAAGCCTTTTTTTAAATTTATTTATATATTTTTGCACACTAGTCGGGTAACTGAAAGTGACACCAATCGAAATTCCGACCCCTAGTTAGCACCGAGGCATGTGTCGAATGTGTCACCCGGCAAAGGCTTTCATGTATGCTCAGATAACAACGGACACAGACACACAGCGCCTGGTGTCTTTCTGCCTTACTGAACTCTACACATGTATACATGTGTGCATGTTTGATGGAGAGGAGCTTCTGTCTCCCGATGTCTTTCCTTGTGCTCAATCCTCTTCCCCTCCTAGTTGGAGGATAATGATTGTGGCTCTATGTAACTTTTTTTTTCTTCTCATCTTTTTTTTGTGTGTAACGTGGTCCTGGTCGCCGAAATAACCCACCCCGGAAGTTGAAGAGGACAGGAAAGTCCTTGGGGAAACTATTCTGTCGGGTCAACTAGATCTGGCAAAAGGGAGTTGGGGCTTGACGTAACGCTTCCGCGTGTGGTTTAATTAAGTGTTATCTAGTCCAAGTTCCCACTCCTTTTGGAGACGGACACGGCCGTCTTCCCGTTCCATCACGCGCTGAAGAGGTTCCCAAACCCCCCTTCAAGTGTCTCTGGGTGATCACAGAGGCCCCATCCAGCTCCCCGATTGGGAGAAGCACAGGTGTCCTTGGGGTTGTTTGAAAAAGGCCAGCCTCAGTTTGGAAGCGCTTTAAGTACACATCTTGTGGTGGTTGAAGACCACTTTGTTCTGTGTACTTTGCTCTCTTCGTGCCTTTAAGTGGGTGCAGGAGGGAAAAGGAATCTGAAGCTGAGCAGGGTATTATGTTTGGAGATGGAGTTTCAGCCATACAAATACCTTTTTAAATGTGTTTTTCTTTTTTATTATTATTTTCCAGGCATCACAATATGATCGGCAGCATAGACGGCAGGCGGACCAGAGAGCTGTCTTCTGTGGAAACCCTGGACCTGAGCAACAATGACCTCACTGAGCTCCGAGGGCACTGCTTTCCCGCGGGCCTCCAAATCAGAGACCTGTGAGTCCAATCTGCATTGTACTGTGTTACGGGACCGCTTTCTTTTTAAAAAGCGGATGTTCTTAAATGAAATGTTTCTGTGTCCAGGTACCTGAGCAACAACAAGATCAGCGTGTTGGAGCTCGGCGCTCTGGACCATCTGGGCTCGACTCTCCAGGTCCTGAGGCTGAGCCGAAACCGCATCGGCCAGATCCCCGTGAAAGCCTTCCAGCTCCCGAGGCTCACCCAGCTGTGAGTACCAGCAGATTACAGCAGTCTTAACAATGCACGTTGTTTGTGGTCGGAACTGTTTGATTTGCGAAAAATGATGGGATTTTCTGCCATTCCTGCTTTTCCCCCCAGCTGTAGCCTTTTTAGACCTTGCAGAATTGAAAAGAATTAAATTGAAGAGGAGTTTGTGGGGTGTGTTGATGGAGCCCTGCGTGTGTAACATGTGGAGCGCTATTAGTGTGAGCGGTACCTCCGGGGGCAAATAATGTCTGACAAGGCAAACACCGAAGACCTATTACTGCTGATTTATTGCCTTCTTCCACATCCCCAAAGTGGTTAGTTCGCTCCCCACGCCACCGCCTTATCTCGCCAAACCTCCCTCCAGCGCAGCGGCGAGGTTGGACCCATTTGTAGCTCGACGCCTCCATTCGGGAGAGCGGAGGAACTCGCGTAATGGGAATGGGACCCTGGCCTCCCCGGGGGCTCTCGCCGTTTACCCAGGTGCCCGAGTGACACTAAATCTACACGGGCCAGTGGCGATGCACATCAGTCTGAAAGGAACAGGGTGGATGTTTAACAGCATACACACACACACACACACAAACACACACACAATGTACAGATTTCCACGCTCGTTGGAGACTCGCATCTCCAACGCAAAATGAAAATAAAACCACCAGTGGTTTACATCTTATAGCGTGCTGTAGTGTAATTTTATAGGGTCATAACTTAACCCTTGTTTGCGAGTTAAGGCCTGGGGGGGAGACCCCACTGGCCCCCGGCCACAGCCGGAAAGGACACCACTGAGGAATGCCTGTTAAGTTGGGGGGTTTGTTAACGACAAAATGCTCTAACTGGAGCGTGCAGACTCTGGGATCCTTTGGTTTTGTCTTCAGCGTGATGGATGCCAGTATAGAATGAAGGCAAAGCATTTCTCAGTGGGGTGGGGGTATACATGTGGTTTTCTCGCTTTGTGGGAGAGAAGTTGACAGTATGATTAAGTGGTGATTGGTTTTCTCCCTCGTGATTTGTTTTGTCCGTCCGCCCTGCAGCGAGCTGAACAGGAACCGTATTCGTCAGGTGGAGGGTCTGACCTTTCAGGGTCTGTCCAGCCTGGAGGTGCTCAAGCTGCAGAGAAACAGCATCACCAAACTGACCGACGGGGCCTTCTGGGACCTGGCCAAGATGAAAGTCCTGTATGTAAAAAATAAATGAAAATATCTATAATACACAAATATTGTTCATTATGTGAGCCATTTTATTCAAACATTGCATTTCAGAATCCATAAAACATATCATATCTGAAAGGTATCATCTGATTTATGTCTGCAGGAGCGAGCACCACCTGACAGGCTGATCCTATTTGCACGTTTTACTGACTTATTAGGAATACTCACCCACCAAAATTCAGCTCAGCATCCTTTCTTCATGCAACATGGCCAGTGTCACATCCATCACACCTTTTGTTACTGAACCTGCAGTTCTTACACAATACTTTCAATTACATTCAAATTAAAATTGTGGTCACAAACCGCAATTGCATTTCTTTAGAACTCCTACAAACTCCAAACTCCAGACCCCCCGTTGCCTGTAAACCATTGTGTCAACATCCTACAAATGCATCCTGCTCACCGGTTATACATATGCTCCTTTCTGTCTCCTGCAGTCACCTGGACTACAACAGCCTGTCGGAGGTGAACAGCGGCTCCCTGTACGGCCTGTCCTCGCTTCAGCAGCTGTTCCTCAGCAACAATCGTATCGCCCGCATCAACCCCGACGGGTGGAAGTTCTGCCAGAAGCTGAGGGAACTGTGAGTACAAGCGTTCGAGTCGGCCCGCGCACTAAAGAGCCTTGTATAGCCTTGTAGCAGAAGTTTAATTAAGAAAGAAATGTTAAAAGATGTATATTTCAACTTTTCCGTCTGTAGGGATTTAAACACCTTGTCCTATAGACTGAGAATTCAGCTTCCCCCCCCCTCCAAAAACACATATCCGCCATCCACCTTCCCCATGGTTGAATGACATTGTGCTTTAACACTCGACGCGCTACGCTATTCTCAAAATAAGCCTGTTTATCCCATAATTAGAGCTCGGATCAACAGCACTCAAGCCCTGCGACGGGAGTTTTTGTACGCTGCTGAGAAGCGCTGGGGTTTGTCAAACCGCCGTGTAATCCTCCGCCGGCTGTGTTGCGCTAATTACACCGAAGGAGATCCACCTTCCCCCCCGCGGCCTTTTGTCCGCCGAATGAGTCGTTATTATCAGGAGAGCCTTTCCTCCTCCGCTGACACGACTGTCGCGTCGCCGCGGTAGAGTGCTCTGCTCAGCCGAGGCGTCGCTAACTGCGAGGCAGCCCGGGGTATCCGTGGCGCCGCTGCTTGTTTGTGTGTGGCGGTCACGGGGGGGGGGGGGGGTAGTAAAGAGGTCGGCGTGCGTTTCCCGTCAGGTTTGCTCTGGGGAATCTCAAAAGCGGATTCCTGTGCGCGCGGCTGTCGAAGGAACGGGTCGCTTCTGGCAACGTCTACCATCGTTCCCTGGGAATTATTTTTTTA